ATGATGATGATGCTGATGATGATGATGATATTGATGACGTTGATGACGAGGATATCGATGATGGTGATGCTGATGATGACGTTGATTGCGAGATTGAGTGTGGTATCGATAGTGATATCGATCGTGAGACCGAATGTGATATAGATTGTGAGATCGATAGTGAGATCGACTGTGAGATCGATAGTCATATCGATTGTGGGATCGATCGGATGAAATAGATCGAGCGATATGGACTGTGAGATCGATCGAGTGAGATCGATCGAGCGAGACCGATCGTGAGATCGATCGTAAGATCGATAGTGAGACCGATGGAGTGAGACGTTGGCTCCTCCCCCCCGAACCTTCTTATCACCCGAACGGTGGTCGTATAGGTACACATATGAAAATGTATCCACATATACATGAATATATTTGTATGTATGTATCTGTGTGTACGTATTCGCATCTACATTCACAAATGTTTATATACATGTCGACACGCACATGCACCTGCACATGCAAAGCCATATGCGCACACTTACACATACACGTACATGCGCGCACACGTATACATACAAACACATATGCGTGTAAATACGCACATACATTGACACAACCACATACACAGACACCTACATCTACACATACATCTATACACATATATATATATGTACATATACATTTAAACTATACATGTACATGTGCATCTCTGTATACATGGACAAGTGCATAAACATCTGCAAATATGTATTCAGCTACGCCTGCATCGACCAATACGTACAAACATACACACATACACATGTACATGTACATGTTCAAGTACACATACACATACGTACACATCATTTATATGTATGTAAATACTCCCCAATCAGAGCTTGCCTCTGTAAGGGTCCTAGCGGATTCATATGGTTAGGTTAGGCTTGTCGCCGATTTTCGCTGCACGCCCGGGTGCCCGGGGGTGCCCGCGGTTGCCGGGGTGGCCTACACTCTATAGCCCTACAGCTCTACAGCCCTACAACTCTATAGCCCTATAGCTCAATAGCCTTGTAGCCCTATAGTCCTCTAGCCCTATAGCCCTGACCGGTTTTTCCTTTATCACATATATATATATGTATGTGTAAAGAGAGGGAGAGAGAGAGAGAGAGAGAGAGAAAAAAAAAAGAGACAACAAACAAATGCCTTCGGCCCATGCCGCCACCGTGCCTGGGTTGCGGGTCTGAGACCTCTTGGTTGGATTGCCGTTGGGATCTCGTCGAGGCGTCTTGGGGCCTCCTGGAGGCAGTTTCGGAGCCCCTGGGTGCTGTTTTGGTGCCTCTTTGGAGCCTGCTGGGGGCCTCCTGGGGGCCTCTTGGGGGCCTCCTGGGCACCTCTTCGGGGGCTTCGTGGGTGCCTCTTGGGTGCCACTTGGCGGACGCCTCCTGGGCGCCTCTTGGGGCGTGCAGGCTCGGGCTTTCGGGCGGTGCTTCCCCTCTTGGGCCCCTCTCGGGGCCGCCTCCGGGCCTCCTTGGGCCGCCTGGGGCGCCTCTTGGGCCATCTTGGGGCCCTCCTGTCGGAGACGAGCGAGGGGGGGAAATGAGAAGGAGAAGGCCCTCTCAGAAGACGGCGGGACTTCTCAGAAGGCCTCCGGCCTTCTGAGAAGTTTTTTTCTGTCCTCGGGGAAGGCTTGGGAACTTCCAAGCCTTCTGAGAAGACCTTCTCCTTCTCACTTCCCCCCTGGGCGCGCCGCCTATCTTGGGCCGGCTTGGGGCCCTCTTGGGGGCCTCCAGGGCTGTTTTGTAGCGGTTTGGGGGGCATTTGGGGTCATCTTGGAGCATCGGAACCTGGGAGATCCCCCCATACATAGAAAAGCAAGTGGCAAATCAATGAGTTTGGTCACTCGTGGCCCTCTTGGGAAGGATCTTGGGTCTCTTGGGATGTCTAGAACGCTTCCTGGGCCGTCTTTGGGGCCATCCTGGGCGTGTCGTGGCCCTCTTGGGCCGTTCAGGGGGCCTCTCGGGGCCCTCTCGGCCCGTCGGGGGACCCTCTCGGGCTCGACAGAGTCATGCGAGAAGATGCCGGGACCCCCCGGGGGCGCGCGAGAAGCCAACTCTTGGGAGGTCAAATTCTGATGTTGCCCTGGTCCGAAGTCCGGCTAAATCGGGCTTAGTCTGGCTCAATCCAGTTTAATCCGGTTGAATCCCGTTTCATCCCGTTAAATCTGGGTTAATCCTGCTTAGTCCGGGGCCCCATTCCGTCGTAACAGCTCCCAAACGGGGCTGAATCTTCGTTAATATTCCCGACGAAAACCTCCCAGTGGTTGCCTCCTAAAGAAGATTTGGCACTTCGGGGGTCCAGGCCCGTGAAGACTCCCCAGGATGGAGGACTGAGGCTGGAGGGGTTCGGCAAAGGACCCGAGGACACGCCTGCTCCGTGCCCAGCGGCGCGGTGGAGGATATAGGCGTATCCGTATCCTAGGGCGACGAGATCTATGCATATCCACTGCTCCTGGCCAGGCCCATCCTGGGCCCAGGAGCGGTGTATACGCCCTCCTGGCCTGGCCAGGGAGGCATATACACAGCTCCTGGGCCCAGGATGGGCCTGGCCAGGAGCAGTGGATATGTACAGATCTCGTCGCCCTATATCCACGGCACCCCGAGGTCCTGGGATGTCGGTTCCCGACGCGGTGGATCTGGGCAGATCCCAGCCTTGCCCTGTTCCAGGCCTGCTCTTCCGGTAGGTCCGTGTCGGGTGACGCGGCGGCGACCCCATGGCGGACTTTTCCAGGACGAGGGCCGCCAGCGGCTCTGGGTCGGCCGATGTCGAGCGATCTGGCGTCGGGGGGCGGCTAAGCAGGGGGGGGTGACGAGGCGGAGGTGGACATCCTGGCGGGTGCCATGAGATCTCCCGAGAGTTCATGGCGCCGCTCCTTATCTCACCACGTCCCCGCCCCCCCCCCCCCCGGGCCGCGCACGTGCTGCCCGCCACGATATGCGCCCCCCCCCCCCCCTCTTGGACGCCCCCGACAGCGCGAGCGGAGGGTCGCGCTCGGGCAAAAGGTACGAGCGAGCCGCGCGGCTGTCGGGATCGACTGTCAACGACGAAGTGACGTCACAACACGGACCGGCCGTGAAGCTCCTCCTCCTCCTCCTCTCTCTCCTCGCTCTCGCTCTCTCCCTCCTCCTCCCTCCTCCTCCTCCTCCTCCTCCTCCTCCTCCTACTCCTCCTCCCTCCTCCTCCTCCTCCTCCCTCCTCCTCCTCCTCCTCCCTCCTCCTCCTCCTCCTCCTCCTCCTCCTCCTCCTCCTCCTCCTCCTCCTCCTCCTCCTCCGTTGCTGCCAGTCTGGTCGCGTGGCCACGACCTGCCTCACGGGAGTTGCGCGTCCGTCCTGCAGTCGCCTGGGGCTCGACCGCCCGGGGCACCAGGTGGGTGGGGCGATGGGGCCGGACGTCGAGCTCTCTTGGGGGGAGCTGTACGAGGAGGACTTCCCCAGATGCTCGTTCTGGGGGACCTTCCTTTCAAGCAGTGGCGACGCGTCCTGGCTTGCCCACAGTCCCACGAAGCAGTGTTCTAAGAACCTGTTTGTGATTTGCACGAGATGTTCTTAGAACACTTCTGGCCGAGACTGGCTTGATTTCACACATCGGGCTCATGCTCTAAGAACATGGTTTTTGTCCTTAGAACCTTGTTGGGCTCTAAGAATATTTCGTGGTAGGACGATAGGAATGCCGGGACGGTCGGTCCCTGCCCAATTCTTGGGGCCCATTTGACGAATCTGTTGGTCTCGTAGCAAGCCGTGGGCGCCTGGTGTGCCCTCCTGATTCCGCTTTTCGCGTCGATGAGCATCTGGGAGTCGATGAGGCAGCACCGATGCAGCGTCGGTGAGCTTCGATTCAGTGTCGATGTAGCGTCGATTAGCGTCGGCTTGGCGTCGATTCGCAAGAACCGACGAGATGATATGGGAGGCTCCCACGACTTGCAACAGAAGACTCCAGTTCGACTCAGCTTCGACTCAGACTCGACTCAGGCTCGACGGAGGAGGAGGAGGAGGAGGAGGAGGAGGAGGAGGAGGAGGAGGAGGAGCTTCTCGACGCACGAGCGGAGCGAGCGGCGCGGGGGAAGGTCCGCCCAAAACGAGCATCCAAGCTTCCCCTGGACCGTTGTGGACGGCCGCGTGTACGCCATCGGCAACTTCATCCCCGAGCACCCGGGGGGGCAGCTGATACAGCGCGCCATCCGGGGGAGCAAAAGGCTGCTAAAGCATGCAGAGTCCCAGACCTCCTCGCGCTGTGAAGCACAAGAAAACACGACGGGAGGTGCTCCGCCATGGTCGGCCCCTGGGGGGCCTTCCGGGGCCCCGGGGCCGTCAACAGGACGCTTCGGGAGATGAGGCGCCGGTCCCCGGGAAGGGGTCCAGGCCTCTGGGGGGCCGCAGAAGCATCACGTTGTCGGGGGTCCAGGGTCGGGGGTTCGCGCGGATTCCTGTGGTGTCGGCGCGGGGCCCCTCTCCCCACACCCCCCTCCTCCTGCTGCTCCAACTCCTCCTCCTCCTCCTCCTCCTCCTCCTCCGCCTCCTCCTCCTCCGCCTCCTCCTCCTCCTCCTCCTCCTCCTCCTCCTCCTCCTCCTCCTCCTCCTCCTCCGCCTCCTCCTCCGCCTCCTCCTCCTCCTCCTCCTCCTCCTCCTCCCCCTGTTGCCCCAGACCTCCTCGCGCCCCAGGGGCGCTCTCCGCGCGCCGGGGGGAGGGGCGTGGGCGTGGGAGGCCCAGCGCCCAGCCACAGCAGCGCCGTGCGGGCCCTCGGCGGGTTTGTGCCTGTGCGGCGTGCGTTTGCTCCCCGGCACTCGGCGAGGACGCGAGCGAGCTGTTCCACACGCACCACGCCGCGGGCGGCGGGGCCGCGCGGGCCCTCGCGAGGTACGACATCGGCCGCCTGCGGGGCGCCCCCCGGGCCGTGCCGCGGGTCTTCCAGCGGCTGCTCGACGAGCGCGTCGCCGAGCTGCAGAAGGCGCCTGCCCTCCCGCTGGCGGAGGCGGTGGCGCTGGCGATGCTGTGCCTGTTCCTCTGCTGGGCCTTCCTGTGCTACGTGGCCGGCTGGTGGCGTCTGAACGTCCTGTCGGCGTGGTTCTGGTGGCGTCATCTGGACTCTGGGCTCCACTCCGCCTGCCACGGGGACTTCCGACGCTGGGGGTGGCTCCGCAGGGTCTTGCGGGGCGTCTACGGCGTCCTCTCCCACAGGGCCGTGGAGTACTACCACGGGTCCGAGGCCCTCCGGGGCGTGGGCTGGTCGAAGCACTTCTGGCACCACGTGCACACGAACGACCCGCAGAGGGACCCAGACTGGTCCACCATGACTGGCCTCGCATGGGTGAGGCGCTACCCGACTGCAGACTGGCTTCCCTGCCACAGATGGCAGTGTTGGTACTCAGCATCGGTCGTCCTCGTCCTCGTCCTTGTCCTCGTCCTCGTCCTCGTCCTGGTCCTTGTCGTCGTCGTCGTGGTCGTGGTCGTCGTCGTCGTCGTGGTCGTCCTCCCCCATCCCATCTGGGGGAGAGGGGTACTCAGCATCGGTAGACCCATCCCCATCCCCACAGGGCCACCGTCCAGCCCAACCCAGGTGGGGGAAGGGCCGCGAAAATCGAAGCAGCGTGCATCTATGATCCAGGGTTGCACCCCCCCCCCCAAGTGCTGATGGGATCGATTCCCTCCCCGCTGGATGGGCACGCCCGTGGGCCTCGCAGAGGCCTCGCGAGTGGGATCGCGCCCATCCCCAGTGGTCGTGGCCCTGTGGGCGTGGCGTGGTGGAGGGTGGCCGTTCCGCTGCTCTCGCCGAGATCTTTCCGAGATGACCAAGGTCACAGGGCCTCGCGAATGGGATCGCTCCACCCCCTCGCCCCCCCCCCTCCTCTGGTCGTGGCGCTGCTTGGGCGTGCCGTGGAGGAGGGCCGTGCCGTAGTAGCCGCCGCCCCTCCCCTGGTGGGAATGGGGTGGTGCTGCGGTGCCGTCGCCGTCGCCGTCGAACTCGTCTTCGTCCTTGTCCTCGTCCTCGTCCTCGTCGTCGTCGTCGTCGTCGTGGTCCTCGTCGTCGTCGTGGTCGTGGTCGTCATCGTCGTGGTCGTCATCGTCATCGTCGTCCCCCCCCATCCCATCAGGGGGAGGGAGGGCCTGTGGAACCTCTTGACTGATCCCAGCTGGGGGAGAGGGGGCCGTGAACCCTCGACCCGGCATCAGAAATACCCAACCTGGGCTGGGCTACGCGGAATGTGGGGGCGAGGCAGCGAGGGCTGCAGAACAGGGCCCTTAAAGGGGCCCTTTCGGCCCCGAAGGGGGCCTCTGTAGGGCCCGGATATAGGGCATCTTCCTCTCCCGAGATTCATCGCCCCCCTCCTTGATTCGCGTCCCACTGGGTGGGCCTCTCGTCCTAAGTGGGGCCAGGGCCACGCCAGTGGCCACGGGGATCGGCCCCGCGACGCTCAGGTACTGGCTGCCCGCCAACTGCGCGGTGGAGCCCGCCCTCGAGCTGCTCCGCGTCGCGGCGCTGTGCCTGGAGTCCCTCGGCGCGCTCCTGGAGCCGCCGGCCTCTGCCGACCCGCTGGGCGCGCGGCTGGCGCGCTGCGGGGCGCTGTGGGCGGAGGTTCAAGGGAGGAAAACCCCCCAGGACCGGACTCATTGGCGTTGACGAAACAGCCCTGCCCTGCTCGATTCCTTCTTGGGGCGCGCGCACTTCACCACCCACCAAACCACCCCAACCCAACCCGAAGGCTCAGATTTACCCTCGATTTCCAGTGGGGGGGGGGTCGGGAAACATCAAAAAACACGTGTGGAACCCTTACCCCCCCAACCCGAAATTCGGGTCTTCGGGTTGGGTTGGGGTGGTCTGGTATGTAGTCAGTACGAGAGGCCTCGCGTGTCGGGGTGATGATTCTCGGGGAGGGTTCTCTGCCCTCCAGAGGTGCTGCTGAACCCGGGCTTCCAGGGCGTCGCCCTGCTCTTCTCGGAGGAGGGCCGGCTCGCGGCGGCGGCGGGCCGCCCCCGCCCGTGGGCCCTCGGGAGTGGCGCACAGTCGAGGCTCCTCCTCCGCCGCCTCCTCCGCCTCCTCCTCCTCCTCTGCCTCCTCCTCCTCCTGCTCCTCCTCCTCCTGCTCCTCCTCCCTCCTCCTCCTGCTCCTCCTCCTCCCTCCCTCCCTCCTCCCTCCTGCTCCTCCCTCCTCCTCCTCCTCCTCCTCCCTCCCCTCCTCCTCCTCCCTCCTCCTCCCCCTCCTCCTCCTCCCCCACTCCTCCTCCTCCTCCTCCTCCTCCTCCTCCTCCCCCTCCTCCTCCGCCTCCGCCTCCGCCTCCGCCTCCGCCTCCTCCGCCTCCGCCTCCTCCTGAGTGGCAGGTCGGCCCTGCCGAATCAAGGGCACCCGTGTGCAGAGAGGAAACAGGAAAACCCATCCCGCGGCCTTCCCCTCGCTTCCCCCTCTTTTGGGCCTCCTGGGAGGCTCTCGTCGCCACCGCCGGGATGCGCCTCGAAGTCCTGGTCAGAACGCCACCCGGGAGAGGTCCGGGGAGCAGCGGTGTCTTGGTATATTTTGGCTTCTCCGGTGCCCGTGCCCTCGGCCTCGGGGGACGGGCTTTCCTGGCCAGGGGCTGCGGAGGTGCGCGGTTTGACCGAGGCACAAGATCGAGGTCGGTTCGGAGAGCAGCGGTATCAGTACCTTTTGGCGGCTTCCCCATGTGTGTCCCGTGCTTCCCGACCAATGCCTTCTACATCCCTATGGCAACGCGGCCATCGGAAGGTTCTTGACTTGTGTCCCCTCACATGGCCTCCCCAGTCAATCCCAACTGTAATACAGTCGGGGCGCCGAAGAAGGAGCCCTGTTTGTTTGGGAGGGGCTCAGTGTTCCCTCAGTTGTTTCATAGTTCGCCTTTGGTTTTCCTTAGGTTTTCGATGGGAAATCGAAGTGAAACTTGTGGAAAGACGGCAACGCCCCAACTGTAGGTCAACGCCCAAACTGTAGGGGAGCGATTGCTGGGGGGGGGGTAAAGAGAGGTGCACTTCTTGAGTCCCAACGGGGGGGGGGCCTGATGGTTGCCCCTTGGCGCCCCAGGGGGGCACGAACTGTTCACGCCCCCCCCTCCAATTTTTCTTGCCCCCCCATTTGAGCAACGCTGAACAAATTGCGACGGGGTCGTTTTTTTGTGATTTTTCTAAATGTTCGGCCTCCGGGGGCCTTCCCGGGCCTCGGGAGTGTCAACGAAGAACCGGTCCCGGGGAAGGGGTCCAGACTGGGGGACGACGTTGTGATATGATCTAAACGTCTGGGAATACTTAGGAATAGCTCATTTCCAGACGGCGCCAGCGTGAGTCGTGGTGTCTGCGGAGTCGGTCACGGGGTTATCGCGAATAGGAAATGATCGCGAAAAGTGAAACCAGGTTCATGCGCCCCCCGACCCTGAGACCCGACGGCGTGCAAACATCCGATCATCATACAACATCACGGGCGGAACCCTAGAACCCATCTGCTTCATTTTCCGAGCCGGATTTATCTGTCCAGCCTCCCGGGCTCCGAAATTGGGCGACAGCGCCCGGTTCGAACCGATTTTGAGTGGATTTGGGCTGGGCGGGGCAGCCGGCGCTGTCTTCGGGGGCCTTGAGCCGGGGGTCAGTGCAAGCGGGGGTCAGCCAGAGCGCCAGACTCTGCAGGAGCCTGCAGAGCCTGGTTGGCAACGACCAGGGCCGGCTTGCAGGATCCCTTGCAGAATCTTGCAGGATACTGCAAACCCAGACACCCGACGTCATGTTTTTTTTCATAACGTCGACCCCCAGAGGTCTGGACTCTTTCCCCGGGACCGTTTTTTCGTCCCGAGTATTTTTTTTGACGGTCCCGAGGCCCGGCGAGGGCCCCCAGAGGCCGAAAATAGGAAACACCGTCCGTCGTAATTTTTCATTGCCCGAGGGGGTCAAGGAAGCCTGACAGACCCGGGTCTGCATTGAACCGGGTCATTGCGTCCCCGCTGTCTCAGCGGGCCCTCCAGACTTTGCCCCGAAGTGTACTTTGCATTGTTTGCGTGGCAGGACTGGTGGGGGGGGGCCGCAGCGGGTTGGTTGCGCATGCTCCGAATTTGGAGGCAGAGTGCGCTCTGCATTGTTTTCTTGACAGGGATGGTGGGGGGGGCCCTCATGGTTTCTGCTTCGCCGCCGGTCGCCTGGGGGAGGGGGTGTACAGTGATAGGGAGCAGTGATAGGCCACTCCCCGAGAGGGGAGGAGGGGCAGATGGAAGACAACACCCCCCTGGGCCACCTGCGCCCTGCAGGGCTGGTCAGTGCGCCCCCGGTGTCTCCGCGGGCCCTCCTCCGATCTTCCAGCCGTGGCGGCGGGCGCTCGGCACCGTGCTGCTGGCGCGGGCCGTGGCGCGGCTGGTGCTGTTCCCGTTCTCGGAGGTGCAGCACTACATGCCGGAGCTCAGCACCGCTCGGGCCTTGCTTCCGCACGCACGAAATGGGTACTGAAAGAATGGGTACGATGCCCGACAGCAGTTCCTGCTCATTTTGACCAGGAACTGCTGTCCGCGCCGCCGCGGCCTGTGTCCACTTGAGACAGGAGGCCGCCTGCCCAACAGCGGCCGCTGTTGGTTTGGGACAACATTTGGTGTTGGGCATTGCACCCATTCTGTCGGTACCCCATTTCGGGTGTCCAAACTGCTGGGATGGGCGCAGGGGGTGCTAAGGGGACAGGGGGGTTTGTCAGTGGATGCCAAGGTCGGCTACACCCGGCCAAACCTAGCTTATTCTAAGCTAGGTTCGACCAGGTACGAGTGGGTGTAACCCACTTATACCTGGGTGGATCAGTGAGTGTAACCCAGTTATCAGCTGCTTATAAGTGCGTTACACATGTGCCCCAAGCGGCTTCGGAGCCCCCTTAGCCTGGATCGCTATCCCCCCCAAGCCACTTGGGGCATTGGCAACCCACTGATGAGCTAGGACAGGCCAGGTACAACCCCTTTGGCGTCCACAGATAGCCCCCCTATCCCCTTAGCACCCCCCGCGCCCATCCCAGTATGAGGAATCATGACGGGAGGTTTTTCCTAATGTTTGGCATCGGGACGCCTTGACCGGCCCTCGGGACAGTCGAACAACGACCAAGGATGGAAAACCGGTCCAGGGGAATGGGTCGAGACCTCTGAGGGTCGACGGTATGAAGAAATCAGGACGGGAGGTACTTCGTTATGTTCGGCCTCAGGGAGGCCCTTACTGGGATGGGCGCGGGGGTTCCTAATTGGATATGGGGGTAAATAGTGGATGTCAAGGTGGTTTGTATCTGGCCTAACTTTGCTCATTCGTGGGTTGCCCATGCCCCAAGTGGCTTGGGGGGAAGGGCGATCCAGGCTAAGTGGCTTCGCCCACGCAGCGGAGTCCTCGAATCCCCCAGAGCCACTTGGGACACGTGTAATCCTCTTATAATCTAGGTTCGGCCAGGTATAGCCCCTCTGGCGTCCACTGATAACCACCCCTATCCGAGGAGGGAGGAGGGAGGAGGAAGGAGGAGGAGGAGGAGGAGGAGGAGGAGGAGGAGGAGGAGGAGGAGGAGGAGGAGGAGAGGAGGAGGGAGGGGGAGGGAGGGAGGGGAGTACCAGGCCTCGGGATCGTCAAAAGTACAGCTCAGGCCGAGAAAGCGGTCCTGGGGAGCGGGTCGGGAACTCCTCTGGGTTCGACGTGATGAACAGATCATGACGTCGGGAGGAGGGGGAGGGGGAGGAGGGGGAGGAGGAGGAGGAGGAGGAGGAGGAGGAGGAGGAGGAGGAGGAGGAGGAGGAGGAGGGGAGCGCCGCGCGGATTTCTTGGATCGGCTCTGGGGCTCCCCTGGCGGCGCCTCTGGCGCCGCCCGTGATGCGCTCCGCGCGCGCCGGGGAGGGGGGGTGCAGCGCAGATCCGAGAAGTCCGCGCATCAGGGCCGGGGGCGGTCAGGGGTAATTGGCTGCAGATTCGCGCCTCGCGGGCCCCAGCTAGGGTTACCACGGACCGTGGTTTCGGAGGTGGATAGACCTCCTACCCTGACGCGTCGATGAAGCAATTGGCCGTTTTCGGTTCGCGAGGGCGTCGCGGCCGTCATTTATTGCGGGTCCAGGTCCGTCGGTTTCGGTCCCAGGCCGTTTTCACTAAAGGAGGTTTGTCCACCGCTGATAGTTTCTCGAAAAACTCGGGCGCCCAACCATTCCCGAATCATCGCGGCTGAGGTTGGTCAGGGGACTCTGCAGATTCGCGCCTCGCGGGCCCGCGCCAGAGCCACCCCAGACCGGAGTGATCCCGGCTAACTCCGGCGCCCAACCATTCCCGAAGTTCGGGGGCGGCAAAGAGGGGGGTGATGACTAGGGGCGGGATATCATGGCGTGGGCCATGATATTTCCTGAGATTTCATGGCGCCTCCTCTTATTTCATTACGTTCCTGCCCCCCCAACCCCCCTGGGCCGCGCACATGCCGCCGGCCATGATTTGCGCCCCCCCCTCTTGGACGCCCCCCTCTTGGCCGCCCCCGAGTTGGGAGCGGTCAAAAGTGACTACATGTTCGAGCCTCGCGGGCCCAAACAAACCAGGACCGGAGTTCTCCCGGATAGCTCGGGCCTGGGTCCAAACCGGATTCACCCCGGACCAGCGTTATCCAGAGAATCGGGTGTCCAGCGTGCCACTCCTGAGTCCTCGGGGCTGCGGGGGGTCAGGGGTAGCTGCTGGTTCGCGCGTCGGGGGGGCCCAACTTGGAGTTTACCCGGAGTTGTCCTAGATAGCTCGGGCGGCCAAGTTGATCAACATATCCCCGTCTCCGATGGGCCGTGTTATCTCAGCCCCACCATCTCATCACCCCAGTTGTGGATAGGCCCCTCGAAGCCCGAATGGAACAGCCTACATCCCCAGCTACGGGCATTAGTTGGCCAGTGGGGCCCTGGGCCACGCCAGTTGTCATCGATAACAGAAATCTGGACCCTCCTATCACGACGAAGACGTGCTCTCACTTAAGGTCCTTGTCTTCGCAGCAGGGATCATCAATCTGGGCGGCTTGGTGCTATGAGAAAACACCCCCTATCCCGAATGCTCTGGCCCTCCTAACTCAGGTCCCCTCCCAAAGAGGTCAGGGTACTTCTGTTGGTTGTCAAGTGGGGATGGGGATCAGTGATCAGCGGAGCGATAGGAGGAGGAGGAGGAGGAGGAGGAGGAGGAGGAGGAGGAGGAGGAGGAGGAGAGGAGGAGGAGCGATGCTTAGGACCACTTCGAGGGGCTCGCCGCCGGCGGGGGCACGTGGAAGGAGGGCGGCGAGCGCTGCGAGGAGTGGGCCGTCGTGCAGCTGCGGCGCACGGCGAACCTCCGGCTCGACTGGCTGCCGCTCCGCATCCTAGATTTCCTCGTCGAGGAGCTCAAGATGACCCTCCTCCTCCTCCTCCTCCTCCTCTCCTCCTCCTCCTCCTCCTCCTCACCCCTCACCTCCCTCCCTCCTCCTTCTCCCTCCTCCTCCTCCTCCGCCATCCTCTCCTCCTCACCTTCCTCACCTCCTCCTCCTCTCCCCTCCTCCTCCTCCTCCTCCTCCTCCTCCTCCTCCTCCTCCTACTCCTCCTCCTCCTCCTCCTCCTCCTAGGTGGCTCCCCGCGTGGCCCCCCCTTCGCCCCCCGCAACCATTGCCCGCCCCGGGGGCGCGGGAGCCCGCCATCGGGAGCCCCCAGCCGCCCCAGGCTTTGCCTGGCGCGCCAGCCGCCCGCGCGACTGCTGCCTCACCCGCGGGGTTGGAGGCATTTGGGCGGCCACGCTCCCCAGCGTGGCATCGGCGACTACGCAGGTTTCGTGCTGCTGCGCGTCGCCGCCTTTGCTACGAGGTGGACTCACGCCTCCTACATTGACATCACGGCTCCCGCCCGCCGTGGATGGGCCGCGGCGCTGGACGCAGCCGCGCGCCAGATGCAGGCACTGCGGCTGGCCGTCGGGGTCGTGGTGCTGGGGTTCCTGGCGGCGAGCGGTGGGCTTGCGTCGCCACCAGGCGGTGTGGTTTCGCTCGCAATTCCAGCACCAACGAGAAGTGCTACATGTGTGGACGGGACAAGCAAGGCAGGCCTGACCCGACTGGAGCGGTTCCTCAAGGTCAGGGACGACGAGCCCGCAGCACTTTCCTTGGGCGCCGTAGCCCAACAGGCGCTGCCGCAGGGGCTCAGCCTGCCTAGGGCGACGGCGTCGCCAAGGCGCGCAAGGCCCTCGCCGCCCTATGACGCCTACAATTGGCTGAGGACAACGAGCTGCTGGTTAGCGCTCGCCGTCAGCTGGCGGAGGCTGGGGCTCGCGAGCATGCGGGCCGCACGCCCGACGATATGCTCAGGCGTGCGCGTGATCGCCACGCGAGCAAACAGCGCGAGCATGACGCGCACAGTGCCGAGGTCCAGGAGTTCGAGTGCCAGCCGTCCATCAAGCAGCAGGAGCTGGCCACCGTGGCGACGGAGATCACTGCGATCCACGCTGAGGTGGTGGACGCGCGGACCGCCGTCATGGCAGCAGGGATGGCTATGGCTGTTGATATGGAGCATCCTTGGGACGCGAGGGTCGACCAGGATCTGGACACGGCGCCTGGATGATTGAGATATGCCCTTGATGGGAGCGAATTGGTTCATTTTTTTGGCTGGTGACACGGATGGCGACTTCGTGCACAGGCACCATGTGGAGAGTTGCTCGCTAGCGGCGGCTTCATCTCGGTCAACGACCTCCCGCACGATCAGTTTCGCAGGCATGGAATGGCCCACACCGCGACCTGAGTTCACAGCTTGGGAACGGCTAGGTGGCTCTCTTGTATCTATCAAACGGCAGCTGGCTATATAGAGTCGTGGCACTACTCGCCTGGGGAGTCACGGGCCTCGTGGATGCAGGGGTGCATCGATGCCGTCTCCTTTGAGCTCACCATGACCCCCTTGCTGGATGATCTCATTCACAGGATGCGCGCCACGGGCCATGGCAACCTAGTTCTCTCCCTTGCCACCGACATTTGCGAGGCGGCGTCGCAACGCAACAGCCGCCATCGTGAACGAGATTGCGGCCGATGGGAGGCCCTACGGTTCGCACATCCTACCCGTTTGCATTGCGAAGCGCTGCAGGCCATTGTCAAGCTCGGGGGTTACAAGCGCCATCTGCGTTTCAGGTCGGGCCCTGAGGTCTCAGAGCTGCCGATTGACGTCCGACCCATTTTGGACAACCTACGGGCTACGGACCAGCCCCAGACCATGCTGACGCATGTATGGCGACCTAGCATTGGCGTCCGGGCAGAGGATTCGCTGCGACGGTATCATGGACTTCTTGAGCCTATCGATGTGGCCATTCCCACGCAAGCGCCCTACAACACCAGCAGTGCTGAAGGTGGCCTTGAACCCGAGCCAGGATCCGCCGCTGGTGAAGAAGGAGGTGACAATTCCATCAGCTTCACGCAGCACGAAGTCCAGGTCGTCCATGGCGATGGGCCGTCCAACGTCCTCTACATGCACGGCCTGGACGCCGCGCAGGTTGCCGACATGAGCTTCCAGGGCGTGTCGGGCCCGCCGCGCCTGGCTAATCGCAGCGACCCTATCGGGACAAGCCGCAACCCGCCCGCCCCTGCCACAATTGCTGATGCAGAGGATACACGGTGTCCTACCTTGGATATTAGTGCAGACGCGGCTTCGGACAGGGTTGGTACTGAAGTGGCTCCGAATGGGCCCCCTGTTGGGCGTGGGGAGCGAAAGCGTCGGGACACCGATGCAGGACCTCAACGGGCTCCCAGACGGTCTTGCTTACCTCGTGCCCCCTCACATGGTGGCTCTTCTCGACCCTGGAGACGTGCCCCGAAAGCCTCCTCAAGAAAGTCTGCGGTACGCTTGATTACCTCGAATTCCAGTGGCTGGCGTCAAGCTAAGGCCCTTTTGCAGGAAGGACCTCGCGGGGCCATTGTGGTTGTGCAGGAACACAAACTACAAGGAAATCGCTTGGCCCGTGCGCAGGAATGAACACGCAGCTCAGGGTGGCAACCCTTCACGACTGCGGCCCGACCTGGGGAGGACGGTGCAACACAGGGATGTGGTGGCGTGGCCATTTTTGTACCCTCCCACATCAGCGTGGCCTTGCCTGGGCACGCTACGTCTCGCATCGTCGTAGAGGCATACGCCGTACTCGTACACATATACGCCGGCCCCAAACATGGTTTCCTCTTGGGGTCCATCTACCTGGAGCAGGGACACGGGCTCTCGGGACCCAACCATGACAAGCTCAGGCCGCTCGGTTCCACACTGGCTTATCACAGGCTGCCCTTTATTATTGGAGGCGACTGGAACGTAGGTCCAGATACATTTGGGAGGACGGGTTACCCTGATAGGTTACGCGCTCGCGTGGTTTTGTCGGCAGAGGGCGCCTACCGTGACCCCGCAACTGCGAGGCGCACGCTCCTTGATGACTGGTTGGCCAGTGATTGTGTCGCGGCCACCATGACTACGCCAACCACTTTGGCGGACTTCCCACCCGGGAACCACTGCGCGGTTATGACTACTTTACCTGGCGGGGTCCGCTCACACGCTGTCACGGTTTTCAGTGGGCCTGTGCCTTCCCCCGCCACCCCCACTGCTAAATGGAAGGATGTGGGCGCCCACCGGGACCAGGGCGGCGAATTTCAACTCGACGCGCCTCGGGGCTCACCAGAGCGACTATGGTCAGAGGTAATGGTTCACGACGCGGCTAGTCGCCCTGGGCCGCAGGCTGAGCACCAGGCCCGTTTAGATCACCTCTATCGCGCGCTGTACGATGGTGCCGAAACGGAACTTGCCCCTTTGTTTCAGGACGGCGACAGGGCCGCTACACAGTACTTGGGGCGCCAGCAGGGACCTCGCTATCGCCGGTCCATCTCTGGGGGCGCCCTTGCACGGTTCCAACCTTCGGGCACTTAGGTTTCTCGGGCCCTTCGGCTTCTTCAGCTTCGGGTCCACGATGTGCGCATCTCGCGCATCTCTCCGGGTTCCCTGCAGGGTGCCCATCAAGCCTGGGGTTTCTTGTGCGATTTTCTCTCTGGGACAGGACGACATGGGCGTATGAAGAAATACCTACCCACGGGACTGATCCCATTGGTTTCGTATCTGATTCAACAGGTTGTGGAATCCGCCCCCCCAGTTACACCATGCGCTGTTTCAGTTCGTGGGGGGCTATCTTGGGCGCTTGGCTGCCCAAGAGGAGCGACGACTGGGACAGGCGCGTGCGAAGTCCTTTACAGCTTGGTTGCGACGACACCTGGGCACGCAGCCTGGTGCAGTACACAGGTGGACGACACCCCGCGGGTGGAATTTATTCCAAGTCCATGGGGCCCTCGGACCTACTGGCTTCCCTGACGATGCTGTCGAGTCACAGCGTACCTCATGGGGCCAAGTCTGGGGTAGCACCCCTGGGGCCCCTCCGCATCTCTCGGGAAGCATACACAATCCTGAATGTTTTGACGACATCGTGAAGGAAATGCGCCACCTGTGTGAGCACGGGCCCCGACTTCCGCCCCTTAGGATTGCGCAGATCCGAGAGGCTGCTATGCAATTCCCGACCCGTACGGCTGTGGGTGCTGACCGCTTCCGCCCACGTCATTGGGCCCTCTTATCCAACGAGGGCCTCTCCTTACTTGGGTACGTGCTATACCTATGTGAAGTATTTGGATCTTGGTCCCAACATGCGCGTCACGTGCACATCGTCCTTCTGGCTAAGCCCCTTGGGGGCGACCGTCCCATCGCCCTCCTGCCTTCGATTTACCGCGTGTGGGCGAAAGCCAAGATGACGTTCGCACGAGAATGGGCCTCTCAGCTATGCCGCCCCGGCTTGGCCTTAGGGGTGCAGAAGGCCACCACAGACGTTGCTGCTCGACTCCTGGTTCACGCTGAGGCCCACATGGGGGATGATCCGACTCAGGCCTCTCTACACGTTATCGTCGATATAGCCGAGTGTTTCGACAAGATACCTTGGCGTAAGCTCTTCGCCTCCGCCGGGGTCCATCAATTTCCAGGTGTGCTAATCACAGTGGCTCTACGTATGTATGGCTCGGCACGGCGTTTGGTGTGGGATGGGGCCTACTCTACGGTTACTTGGGCGAGTCGTGGGGTACTACCTGGGTGTGCTTTGGCTATGTATGCTTTGCAATGCATCATGCTCCAGCCTTTCGATGCCTTGTATAGGCACACGTGCACCATCTCTCGGTCCATTGACCGTTACGCCGATGACGTTGCGATTTCGGTCGCTGGATCGATTGAGGCCCTTTTGGGTCAGGGACCCAAAATGCTGCGTCTGATACGTGGCGTGCTGGAACGCCTCGAGCTTCCAGCGGCTGCGAACAAGATAAAATTAACATGCAGCCATCCCAAAACAGGACGGGCCATCTGACGCATCGTTCAGGCTCTTGGGTTTGTATATCAAAGCGCCCTGGAGGTTCCTGGGATTGATGTGGCTGCAGGACGGCCGCTACGGTATCACAAGTTACGATCCCGCCTTCGGGCCACAGGGCGGAGGGCACCCCGATTTCACAGTGCACGGAGGGCAGGGCGAGTGGCCAATCGCTTCGTGCGGCAGGCGATCCTCCCAGCCCTCAGTTACGGGGCAGGTGTACACGGCATCCCGCCCCGCCTTGTGCACCGCATGCGGCGCCTCGTGCGCAGCGCCTGGCATGCGCCAGGAGACGCCACTTCAGCGTGGCTGAGTGCGACGCTACAGCCCGACAGCCTGGCCGATCCCCAGGCGATGGCCTGGCGTGCTCCGATTTATCAGTGGGCACCGCTGCATCGTGACAGGGCTCTGTCGGGGGACGTACTACAGAGGGCCTGGAGTCAGCAAGTCCGCAACCTCTACCACCACCCCAAGCCTTGGACTAAAGTCGCAGGCCCTGCTGGGGCCACACTTCTGGCCCTTCGAGATCTCGGATGGAACGCGGTCTCAGCTCATGTTTGTCGCGCGGACCTTGGGGGCATTTTGGGCCTCCGCAGAGATGCTCCTTCGACCTTGCTTGCGCTTGCCAAAGAGTCTGCCGCTCGTCGCCCATGGGCCCTGTGGACTGGCAGGCCCGAAAGCACATCTCAGGAGATGGCCCCGAAAGAAACCGCTGGCTACTGGGTCGAGCCCCTCCTGAAGGTCCTGGGCCGAGTTCGCGTGGAGGGGTCGGGTTCAGCGGATGATTATCACGGCAGCCGCTGCGAGCAGCGTGCTTCCGCTCGCTGGGGACCTGATCAGCGATAGGCTGGTTTGCTTCAGGCGCTTGTCACAGGTGGCGTTTGGCTACCGCAGCGGCTGGCACAGCTGGGTTACACAGACTGCTCAGAGTGTGCGATGTGCGGTGCCGTGAACTGTGGGTGCATCATGTTGTTTGGAAATGCTCGTGCGATGTATTATCACAAGAACGTGAACAGGTGATGTCTCGCGTGGATACTCGTGGCTTTCCATCGTGTGTCGAGGGCTCTTGGTTCTGGGATCGTGGGCTCATTGGGCGCTCTTGCTTCCCAGCATTACCACCTCGAGACGACTCAGGGACCTGGAACATCCTGTATGGAAACCCATGGGGTGTCTCGGGCAGGGTCTACACGGACGGAGCCTGTCGTCGGATTTGGTACTGGCCCGAGTCGGCCCGAGCAGGGTGGGGCTTTGCCACCTTATCTGATCGCGACCGTGGTGGAGTTCAATATGTTGTTTTCGGAGATTTGCCAGGTCCTGTGCAGACCTCCCCTCGGGCTGAGATGTTCGCCGCCCTTCAAGTCCTGATGGCCTGCCTGCCTCCTGTTACTATAGTCACTGACTTTAAAGGTTTGCCCGATGGGATAGTCAGGGGCCCAGATTGGTGTTTAGCTCCTCGTAGGAACAACCTGGACCTCTGGGAGGCCATCTGGGGTAAGATTCACGACCTCGGTGGTCTCCAGAGCGGGGTCTCCTTTGAGCTTTGTAAAGGACACCAGCGGGGCGGCAGCGAAGTGGCGCGAGGCAATCGGTGGGCCGACCTGGCCGCCACCAGAGGGCGCGATCTTCACTGTGCTTCGCAACAGGCCCGTAAGGCCATGGCTGTCGCCTTTAAGACCTATAATCTTTGTCTCCGTTGGATGGTGCGAGCCCTCACCATCTATGGTGGCATGGGGCGCTGCCCCACCAAGCCTCGGGCTAAACGTACCCGCCGCGCCCCCCTTCCTGATGAGGCCACGGGTGACACCCCGTCTCATCTCCGACACGTTTTTGTCAAGGTCCCAGGGAGGAGGATTTTCCGCTGCGGGTACTGCAAGCTAGGCGCTATGACTGCCGTGAGAGTCGGTCGTCTCGAGGTCCTCTTTTGCCTGCTCGCCTTCGGGCCTCGGCGGCTACGCTCGGACTCGAGGCATCGGAGCTCCCAGATGTCCCCAGGCCTGGCCCTGTTGGGCATGCGTTGGCCATCGGCCACTCCATGGGCTCTGATGCGTCTCCGTCGGCCTCGACATCCTCCGAGATGCTGAAGCAGGCCGAGACGTGCAGTTACCTAGTGAGGTGGCGGTGGCTGGCGTTGACACCGCCATGGGGGCGGAGGCTCCTATTCCTGAGAGGGGCACTGGTAGCGCCCGTGCTGCTGCCTACTCGCCTCCTCACGTCTTCGTCGACGTCTCGGACCTTCGGCGGTCGACCTGTCGTCCTCGCTCGCCTAGTTCCGAAAGCGAGGGCAGTCGCAGTGTTAGGCCGAGGGTAACTTTTGACCCCATAGTCCTGGCTCGGTCTCCTGGACAGGAACAGCAGGATCGAGCCATCGCGGACGTCAATGCTGACCTCCCCAGTGCTAAGCGTAGGCGACAAGCACGCAACCCCCGCCCCAGACTGGGTGACACCACTGTGCCGATTACCCCGTTGCCAACTGCTGGCATCGTGCCGCGACCCCGTTGCCAAGGGGCTGGCATCGTCGCCCCCTAGGGGACAGGGTTTGTTGTTGTGTATTCGATGCGGTTTTTACACCACAGGGGTCGCGAGTCACCTCCTTGTGGACTGTCGCCCTCCCGACTTCAACCAGATGTCGGAGAGGGCGTCTCGTAATCGCAAACTGTTCCTGGAGGGTCGGCACCCAGCCGATGAGGGCAGGCCGAACGGTCGCACCCTTCGGACCCCTCGGCCTCTTTTGGCCACCGACCCCGAAACACTCTGGTTGCGCTTGGGCCCATCTGGGGCCTAGCGCACGTTTTGGGCTTTTGTCCCGCTAATTATCTTGGCGCTTGCGCCTGGCTCTTCTGAGCTTTTCGTGCTGGCGGCCCGCCCCGAGATCCTCGGTGGGGGCGAGTCGCTCTTTGCTAGCACGCGGGATGGGCTTTTGCCTGTCCCATTCTTTGTGCACGCTAGGCGCGATCACTGCGCGGCGTCCGCCAGGGCAGTGCGTTATCCTCCTCCTCCTCCTCCTCCTCCTCCTCCTCCTCCTCCTCCTCCTCTCCCTCCTCTTCCTCCTCCTCCTCCCTCCTCCTCCTCCTCCTCCTCCTCCTCCTCCTCCTCCTCCTCCTCCTCCTCCTCCTCCTCCTCCTCCTCCTCCTCCTCGTACTCCGAATCTCACAACAGCGGGGGGGGGTCAAACAAGGGCTTGACAGCGCGCCCTGGACCCACCTCCCAAGAGCGGTGCAACAACGGGTCAGCATCGAGGCACCCCCAGAGTCTTGGTCGACGGGACCCGTGCCCCATGATATCAAGGGCGCCCTCGATGGGCGCGAAGTTATTCGCGCTTCGCGGTTCGGCTCCGATTGTTCCTCATCCTCCTCTTCTCCCCTGGGAGGCGGCGCGAGAGCGCGAAGTTATTCGCACTTCGCGCGTCGCGCAGCGCGAAGCGCGAAGTTGGGAACCCTTGGATATTCTGAGATCCGGAGTAGACATCAACCCTCGGAGCGGCCGCGTGGCTTCCTCGGAGCGGCGCCGCGCGATCGCCTCCGTGGCGCGCGCGGAGCGCGCAAGGGGCGGCGGCGCCAGAGGCGCCGCCAGGGGTCGAGTCGGGCATCGACTGCAGAGCTGATTTACCCTAAAAATTTGTGCTTCTCGTCGAATGTTCCAGAACTGCGCACACGTGGAGTCGACATTTGGAGCCGGTCAATCCTGTCGTCGCTCCCCTGCTCGAAGGGCGGGCCCCAGGCGCCGACCTGAGAAGGCTGCGCGGAGCTCCGAGAGTTTACGGTTCCAGACATCCGGCTGCTCCTCCCCTCCTCCTCCTCCTCCTCCTCCTCCTCCTCCTCCTCCTCCTCCTCCTCCTCCTCCTCCTCCTCCTCCTCCTCCTCCTCCTCCTCCTCCTCCTCCCCCTCCTCCTCCTCCTCCTCCTCCTCCTCCTCCTCCTCCTCCTCCTCCTCCTCCTCCTCCTCCTCCTCCTCCTCCTCCTCCTCCTCCTCCTCCTCCTCCTCCTCATCCGAGAGTTTATGTTTTTTTTCGGCGTGTGGGCCCTGGAGGTTGGGGCCACCTGCCCAGGGCCGGTGTTCCGTCCCGAGCTGTGTTCCGATGCTTCCCCGGGGCCCGGCCAGGCTCCCCGGAGGCCGAAAGTCGGTGGCGGCAAAGAGGGGGGTGATGACTGGGGGGGGGGTGGATATCATGGCGTGGGCCATGATATTTCCCCAGATCTCATGGCGCCCTTCTTATTTCATTACGTCCCTGGCCCCCTCGCTGGGCCGCGCACATGCCGCCGGTCATGATTTGCACCCCCCCCTCTTGGACACCCCCCTCTTGGCCGCTCCCGAGAAAGCGGCCAAAGACCGTTCGCTCCTTGTTCTTGCGAGCGTCGGATCTCTCGGTTTGAGCCGTCTTCTGCTCCTCCGCTGTCATGTTCCACGGGGACACCTACCAGATCGAGCACCACCTCTGGCCGGCGATGAGCTTCGTGCGCCTACCACAGGCCGCGGCCGTCGTGCGGGAGGCCTGCCTGGAGCACGGGGTGCCCTACCACGAGGTTGGCTACTGGGAGGGCTACGCCCGCGTGTGGCAGCAGGTCGCGGGTGGGCGATGTAACCGTGACCCTCAGAGGAGGGGAGCGGTACCGATACCTCTGCCCTTCCCTCGCTCTCCCCTCTCGGGGGGGATATCCTGGGAGGCCCGCGTCGTCACTGCTGGACTCGCCCCGAAGTGCTGGTCCGAGGTCCGGGGAGCGCCAGCGGTGCAGTGAGGGCCCATGCCAAGAAGCACCTGACCTGCAAGGAGGAAAGACTGGTCTACTCTGTAAGAACGGTTTTTTGAAGGCAGATCTGCCTTCAAAAAACCGTTCTTACAGAGTAGCCCTGCTTGCCTCCAGGGTGCCCTGGGTTTCTGGGGTTTCGATGGTCTTGCGAGGGGGAGCGTGAGGTCCCCACACCAAAATTCGATGGACGTCCTGGGAACTCAGGGTCGGGTTTCTCAGTTGGAAGGCAAGATGGGGAGCGTGAGGCCCCCACACCAAAATTCGACGGACGTCCTGGGATCTCCGGGTCGGGCTTCTCAGGTGGAAGGTTTTTTTGTGGTCGGGCCCCTACTGCAGCGGTATACCTTTTGGCTTCCCCGCTGCCCGTGCCCGCGGCCTCGGGGACCGGGCCTTCCTGGCCAAGGGCTGCGGGTGTGCACGGTCGGGCCGAGGTGCAAGGTCGAGGCCGGTTCGGGGAGCGTGCCCTATCGTTTGTTTTGTTTTTTGTGTGCGTGCGTTGGCTGTTCCCGTGCTGGTTGCTCCCGTGCAGGGCGGCCGAACTGGGAGGATCCGGGTGAAGGCCGCTGCCCCTCCGCTCGTTGCGGCCGCCGCCTTGCCGGCCCTCCCCCTGCGCGGCGAGGCCCGCGCTGATCCTCGGGCCCCGGGGGCTCCCGCAGGGCACCCTCTCGAGGGCTCTCCGGCGTGGCCCGGCGGGGGGCCGGCGCGCTCTCGGAGGGTGCTCCGCCCGGGCCCCGGGCCCCGAAGGCGTGCCGTTTTTCCCACCGTCGACCCCTCCCAGAGGTCTGAACCCCCGCTTGCGTACTCCAGATTTCGTAATAAAAGGGGGGGGGGTTGGACCCTCCAAGACAAGCCATTTCAGACCCCCCCCCCCTGGGAGAACCCTCCAAAACATCGTCCCCAGACCCCCCCAGGCCCTCCAAGATAGCTTGGAAAAGACCCCCCCCCGAAATGAGACCCCCCTCCCTTTATTTCGAAATCTGGAGTAATGATGTTCCAACCTGCTTTAGGCCTTATGTCGGGCGTGTCCCCCTACAGGTGGTCTTTTGACGCAAAACATGTTTCACAAAAAAACAGCAAAGATACCCCCCAAAGGCCAACAACATATTCAAAACATAGTCCCCCGATCATTTTTGTACTATGCTTGGATTATGTTTGGGGTGTTTTTTACTGTTCGTCGAAGTCCCCCTGTAAGGGGACAGGCCCGACCTAACTTTAGGCTTGAGCAGCAGAAGTAATATCTCTCGAGCATCAAGAGAGTACCGAGACTGGAGGGTGTGCACTCGTCGGGCCCTGGGGGGCGATATGCGTTCGACACCGCTTCGATACTTGCCTGAGTGCTCGAGATTTCCGGGATCTGGTCTTCAAGTTTTGGCCCTCCTAATTTCCTAATTTCCCAGACCCCCGACGTCATGTTTTTTTCATAATTTCGACCCTCACAGGTCTCGACCCATTCCCCTGGACCGGTTTTCCATCCCGAGTCGTTTTGTTGACAGTCCCGAGGGCCGTCGAGGGGCTCCAGAGGCCGAACATTCGGGAAATCCTGTCGTCATGATTTCTTCATTGCCCGTGGGGGTCTGGGTTTTCTCGGCATCGCTCGGACGTGTGTCTTCTTGCTTCGGCGAGGACCATAGAGGAGCATCCTTGATCATTTGGCGAAAACACATACAACAAACTCTGTTAATACAATCGGTTCCCTTCTTCCTGGGAAACTGACCTGGCACACCTTCGGTCCCACCCAGGGAGGCTGGTTCTGGAGCGCCCCAGGAAGCCCAAGATTGCCCAGGAGGGCCCCAGAGGACCACAGGAGGGCCCGACGGGCGCCCCAAGAGGGCCAGGATGGGGCCACGATGGCCCAGGATGGGCCCAAGATGGCCGTCCGAGCGATGACCAGTTTTGGGGGTCCCTCGCTAGCAGGTCCGCGCCCACGCGCTCCCGCCGGGCGCGCGCGGCGCCGCCGCGGCGCCGTGCCTCCGCGCGGCGGAGGCCGCCCCGCGCGGCGCGAAGCGGCCGCGCGCGGGCCCGCCGGCGGACGGCCAGAGCCCGCCGCCAGGGGGGGCGGCCGGGCCGCAGCCCGACGGCCCAGGGCCTGCCGAGGATCGGCGGCGCGCGCCAGGGCCTGGGTCCACCCCCATCCTCCTCCTCCTCCTCCTCCTCCTCCTCCGCCTCCTCCTCCTTCTCCTCCTCCTCCTCCTCCTCCTCCTCCTCCTCCTCCCCTCCTCCTCCTCCCCCTCCCTCCTCCTCCTCCTCCTCCTCCTCCTCCGCCTCCTCCTCCTCCCTCCTCCTCCTCCTCCTCCTCCTCCTCCTCCTCCTCCTCCTCCTCCTCCTCCTCCTCTCCTCCTCCTCCCCCTCCTCCCCCTCCTCCTCCTCCTCCTCCTTCTCCTTCACGGCTCGCCACACTAGGCGGCCTCGCCGCCGCCACATACGGACACCATCTGTATTTTACGGACAGCCAAGGCTGCTACCTCATTTTCTACAACTGACATCCAGCCGAACCCCACCGGGACGACGGCGATTTGTGGATCAGACTTCAGCGCGCCCTGAAACGACGAGCAGGACATGTCACAGTGTTGTGGATACCGTCGCACATGGAAGCTGCCGACGTCGTTCAAGGCCGAATATCTTCATCCCTCGCCTACGGCAACTGCACCGCTGACGTCCTCGCAGGCATCGCCGCCGACGGGGCACGGGTCAGCACTAGTGACCGCCAGCGGCTTGCGCTGGCAGAGCACAAAGCATATTTAGGTCGAATGCGTCTGTTGAGGACTGCCCTAGAGGCCCTTGAAGCCGAGAAAGCCGAGTTTCAGTGTTCTGGGGAGCCGAGACCTAGGCGGCAAAAAGGGACGGCTGCCTCCAAGCCCCCTTGCCCCGAAGCGTTGTGCGTTTTTTGGGGTCCCAACACCTGCGTTGACCCCACAGGCTCCAAGTGTGGAGTGTGTTTCAGCAGCTCCAGCAAGGCCACTAGGACCCCCTGGTTGCAGACTTAGCTGTTCCGAGCTCACCAATATCAATGGCAAATACAAGGAGGCCCCCATGGGTATGCAGGTTCACATCGCGGGGGGGTTTGTTCATTCGAGTCACACTCTGAGGTTCCACGCGGGGCTGCAACTGTGGTTATGTTCCCACTGCGGTGCATACGCCCAGAAGCTCCTCGGGACACTCGGGGACCTCTGCGAGCAACCCGCCAGCACGGGGAAATAATACCTTCAGCGGGTTTCCGAGCTGAGACGGTCACCAGGTCAACAGTCCTCAGTCGAGGTGAGACGGCCACCAGAGTCAACAACACCCTAAAGAGGGTGGCGGGTATTTAAATTCAGCACGTCGCTACGCGATCAGGCAGAGACTCCAGAGACTCCTCCTCCTCCTCTTTTCCTCCTCCTCCTCCTCCTCTTTTCCTCCTCCTCCTCCTCCTCCTCCTCCTCCTCCTCCCTCTCCTCCTGCTCCTCCTGCGTCTCCTCCTCGTTTTGTTCCTCCTCCCGTTCTTCCTTCTCCTCTTCTTTCTCCTCCTGCAAGCGGGGCGTTAGCACACGGGGCGGTAATTGAGGTGCCTCTTGAAGCGAGAACGGGGCGACAGGGCATTTACCTCGCACCAGTGCGTGATAGATCGGGACGGCGAAGACGTCGATACATCATCGCATCTCTGGGCGGAGGGGTTTACCTCGCACTTGTGCGCGGCAAATCCATTTTTGAAACCACAGTTGAAAACGCCCCTTTCGCAACTGGTCCGTCTACGAATTCCACGTTTGCAGGGAGGTAAGGGTGACCCGTCGCCAGAGTGGCCTTTGGTGCGGGCCCATCGGGGTCCCCCGATCGCCGAACGCGATGCGACAGTAGCGTTTTTTTGCGCTTGTGGTTGGTCCCCCCCCGCGGCCCCCCAGAAGCCGCCCACCAGAGGTCACTCTTACGCAGGGCCACTCTTGCGTGTAGCCGAAAAAGTGCCTCAAGCAGTGGCGAGATGTGTTTCGCCATGGGGCGAGCGGGTCCTGAGGGCAACAGGTCCTGCGGTTGTTCGCCGTGCTCGTGTTCTCGGGGCCTTCCACGGGGCCCGAAACTCAGGATGAAGAGCTCGTCCTGGGGGAAGGTCCTGGGGCCCAGGACTCGTTGACGCAACAGGGCGCGTTTCCCCATGCTAACTCATGCAGTGGCGAGGCGTCTTGGCTTGCTTATGCCCGCCAAGGGCTGTGCTGAGAGCTCTCTGCAGGCTCTCAGCACAGGCCTTGGTGGATTCCGATGGCTTCCGATTCCGATTCGATTCGATTTGGATGGCTTCGACTTCGATTCGTTTCGATTTCCTGATTCCGATCTGGATCTTCGGTCGCTCAAGAGGGGTCTACTGACCTTCCGCCGATTCGGCTTCTCTCTACTCGGCCGCCGATTCCCGTCGCTCGGAGTAATTTCGATCGCCGATCCGACTTACCGATTCGATTACAGGCTCGCCGGCTGTTGTGTTGAGCGCGACATGTTCTCTGACTGTTTTGTTGGGGCCGTTTTGTTTTAATGCATCGGCGGTACGTTCTGATAACACCGTCTTGGTTCTTATGACAGTATCTTGTTCTGAGATCGTGTCGTGGTAGGCCGATAGGAATGCCAAAACAGTCGGTCCCTGCTCAAAACGAGGTGCCCAGAAGTCCAACGTCCCGAGAAGCTCGAAGCGGAGGCTTTTCGCAGTGCTCGGGTTCTGGGGGCCCCAACTGGGCCACGGAACAGTCAAAAACTACTCGGGATGCATATGGATGGCGTCGGATTGCTGGGTGACGAGAAGGGGGGGGCCTTTGAGAAGGTTGTCGGGACTTGGTGGAAGGCAGTGGCTCTCTCAT